AAGTCTGATACCTAGTCCATAATTCTGACACTACTCCATAAGTCTAATACTGGTCCATAAGTCTGAAACTAGTCCATAAATCTGGTACTAGTCCAGAAGTCTGATACCTATTCCAGAAGTCTAATACTAGTTCAGAAGTCTGTTACTAGTCCAGAAGCCTGATACTAGTCCAGAAGTCTTATACCTAGTCCATATGTCTAATACCTAGTCCATAAGTCTTATATTCGTCCATAAGTCTGATCCTAGTTCATAATTCTGATAGTAGTCCCTAAGTCTGACACTAGTCCAGAAGTCTGATATCTAGTCCAGATGTCTGATACTAGTCCAGAAATCTGATCCTAGTCCAGAAGTCTTATACCTAGTCCACATGTCTAATACCTAGTCCAGAAATCTAATACCTAGTCCATAAGTCTGATATCTAGTCCACAATTCTGACACTAGTCCATAAGTCTGATACCTATTCCATAAGTCTGATACTAGTCCATAACTCTGATACTGGTACATAAGTCTTACACTAGTCCCGAAGTCTGATACTAGTCCAGCCGCTGCTACTAGTCCAGAAGTCTGATACTAGTCCCTAAATCTGATACTCGTCCCTAAGTCTGATACTAGGTCAGAAGTCTGATACAAGTCCTGAAGTCTGTTACAAGTCTAGAAGTCTGATACCTGGTCCATAAGTTTGATACTCTTCCAGATGTGTGATGTCTAGTCCAGAAATGTGATATTTGTTTCCAAGTCTGATATCTAGTCCATAAGTCTGACACTAGTTCAGAAATCTGATGGTACTCCATAGATATGATAATAGTCCATAAGTCTGATACTAGTCCATAAGTCTGATACCTAGTCCATAAGTCTCATACCCGCCTCCTATGCCGTCTGGGGCAGTCTTGGAGCTGGTGCTGGGGATCCCGTGGCGTACTGGAGTGATAGGCACAGGCGGATCACACAGACAGCTCCGGTGGGGGCCGAAAAGCCGTTTCACAGGCTCCCTAGCCGGTGGGCGTGCGTTTATCGCTAGAGCTCCCAGCCCCTTGAGCCGCGGAGGCTCCTTAGCGATGTGGTCC